AGCTTCGCGGTTGGGTTCGCCACTAAATCCACGCAGCGCCAGCCAACGAAGTGGTCAGGCCTCACCAACACAACCCCTCTCTCCCCGACACCTCTCACTTGATACCACTCCCGGTATGCGTCCATGTAGTCGCCTCCGAAGCCGATCTTATAGGCGCGAACGAATACACCACTCATGTCCGAAACCTCCTTCGCTGCATGTAGCCAAGCATCGCCGCCGACGCCTGTGAGTAATGTGAAAGACCCTCGTCCACAGAGATCCAGACTTGAGAGTCTTTTTGCTTGCCCATTGGCTGCTAGCCAGACATGTGGAAGGTGATACCCGGGATAGGTGCTGGTCTTAATCTCTCTCAAAGCGTTTATATGGTTGAATTCGGGGGCAATATCCCCACTTTCAATCACCACTGCAGATGTGTTCAGGTAGACCTGGTTCATTTGGATGCCCAGTGCTTGCACTTCATCCTCGGTAGCTTCCAGTGCCTCTCGAAACTGATCGCGCATCTTCTCTCCTTCTGTCGAGTCGGACTTGAGCAGATCGGTGGCCTTCTTCCTGGACGAACTATCCAGGCCAATGAGTGCCCAAAGTGTTCGATGCGCCTCCATTCCATCGTTCGCGCGGCGGACGATGCTGTCGCCTACGGGCTTGCGCTCGACCGTAAGGGTATCAAGGAGAGATGGTGAAGCTAAGCCTTTGATAACATAAGCCAACTTCCAGGAGATGTTGAAAGCGTCTGATATGCACGTGTTGCTGCCGAGTCCGTTTATAGGGGGATGCCTATGTGTCGCGTCGCCGATACACAGCACCCTGCCGCTTTGCCAACTCTCAGCGACTTGATCATTGATTGTCCAAGAAAACGAGGACAATATTTCGATATCAATCGAGTCGTCGCCAATCATCTGGTACAGCCGCTTCAGAATGGCGTCCTCGGTTGGCTGAGAGCTGTTCTTGTCCTTCGTCGCTGGGTGCATCGACACCACCCACTCCGTCCAAGGCCTGACCATGCGAAAATTACCCACAGCCGACCACTCTGGCGCAACGGGATTCAGTACCCAGTTGAGGCTTCCTGGTCGATGCTGAATGTACTTAGATAGGTCGGCTTTGATATGGATGTTGAAGGCGGTGTTGAGCTGGCGGCCAAGTACTGGTATCTTGAGAGCCTGCAACACAGCGCTCCGGGCGCCATCTGCTCCGATTAGATAGCTGGATGTTATGTTGTACTCCTCTCCGGTCGATCTGTTTCGCATAGTCGTAACGATTACGTCAGCTATCTTCTCAAAACGCACGAATTCAGTGTAAAATCGGAACTCGGCACCGTGCCTCGTGGCTTCTTCGATCAGAACTGGCTCGAGGTAGCTTTGAGGCAGATCCGACATGGCGCAAGGACTCGCTCGCTCATAGTCGCCTTTTTGGGATGGTCGGTTACCCCAAGCCCAAACGCGACCATACTCTTCGCCAGCTAGTGTGTTCAGCCACGAGGTATGCTGCATACCTGCACTCGATTAGTACATGCTCGACATTTGGGATACAGGTAGCTGGTACTCCCAACGCAGCGAACATACATTCTGCAGTGCTTGCTATCGTGCCCAATTTCTCCTCGATACCCGCGTCCCTCAAAACTTCCATTGCTCTTTGATTGAATATGTGCGCTCGAGGGGTATTTGCCGTGCCGCTGTGTCTCGATATTGAAAGTGACTTCACGCCTTGTTGAGCCAGCAGCAATGCAGTGGTGGCGCCAGAGGGGCCCGCACCAACGATCACAACAGAATATTCCATGCTTCGATAGACAGGAGCGGTTCGTTGTACAAATCTGATTAGATGCTGAATACAGTAGATATGTTCACCACTAAAAGCACATCATGCTGTTGACGGCCAAGCATCTTGAAGACATACGCGGAGTCTAGTCGAGGCTAATCAATTATTCCAATGGTTTGTCGTGGCATGTCCACGACCTGTGCAGACTCTTGGCCTACTAAGTGGTATGTGTTCCGCTTGCATCACGTGCAAAGGACCATAAGTGCATCAATTTCGGCTTTCAGATGCGGCTTCATCAGTCACCGCTGAAGGACGCAGTCTGATTAGTCGCAGCCATTCAATCTTTTCGGAGATCGCTATGTTCGATCTGCTGTTGGTGGATTACATACCACTTTATCCGGAGCATGTACGCGATTCTCCGCAGTGTACTCCACAGCAAAGAGGTAACTCTGGGCGTAGAAAAGTGGCTGCGGGGTAGAACCGGAAGTCGACCTTTGTACAGAGCCACTGTATTCCGAAGGATGATGGGGGAAAATGTAAATGTTGGAAAAAGAAGGTTGTCTCCTGGCTAAATTTGAGCTACCTAGGTAGGGCTGCGGCCCATGCTGTGAGCTAGGGTGCAAGTGCTACAGAAGTCCATGACGTCACACTAATGCCGGACGGCTTTTGTGGCAGCTCTCTCCGGGTGTCAGAAATTGAGCAGGATTTGGGTGTCGCATTAAGAAGATCTGCGCGACATTAAGTCCTCGCCAAAGGTCTTCGTAGAAGAATCATCCTGTACAACGCGTTTTTGGTCATCAAAATCGCGTGAAGATATTTTCGCCGCAAAGAACTTCGGTATCATCTGGCGCAATTCATTATGACGGTAATAGCTGCTGCAGTAGCAGAGACTCCCGTCGGACTACTGCTAATGCTTCGATGGGGGCTGATTGCTGTCTCCCTGCATCTGTTGAACACTCTCGTGAGCCACACCCATCTTCTTGCTATCAGAATCCCAAACGGAACTGACAGAACAACGAATTGTAGATCTTGTACCCTTTCTTGATGTCTCCAGTTAGACATATACCAGGCCCCTGGTACGCGCGGGTCTCCAAGTTGCCACTAAAATATGCCACGTACAAGCGTAGACGGTCGGACTACGTTACGAAGCTTCTTGATCGGTATGGACCCATTGTCGTCATCGCAACGGATCAAGTTCACACTGTGGACGAAAATGCAATGAAAACGATATATGACAAATCTGCACTCAAGACCTCATTCTACTCCTCGATGGGAAGCTGGAAAGGCGTCGTGTCCACTCTCGGTTTCGTGGACTACCCGTCTGCGGCCCCATCACGCAACAATTTGATCCAATGCTTCCAGAACAAAAACCTCGCGGCTTTGGTGGAGAACATCCAGTCGCACGTCGAGGATTTCATCCAGCTGCTCCATCGTAAGGATGAGAACGAAGAAGCCGTTGACGGAGTCGTCGTCTTCCGCTTACTCGCGCTGGACATTGTGACCGATGTACTCTGGGCCGAAGAACACAGACTGCTGCGCAACTACAAGGAGGACGACGCACCCGCTTTTCTTCGACGGTTTCACGCGTTTAGCACTTGGAACGCGATGAAGAGCTTCATCCCTGGAGCAGATTTCTACGTCAGATGGTTCGGCAATGAGAAGTGGAAGACATTGAGGAAAGATTGCCATGATATGGATGTCACGGCAAAAGAAGCTTTGAACCGCTGGGAGACTAGTGAGAACGCTGCTGGCCGACAAAAGGATGTTCTCTCGATGCTGCAGTCTATGAACAAAGTAAACGCATCTGCCGTTCCTCCGGAAGACATTCCCGCATACATGGTCGAGATGCTCGCAGCGGGTTCTTCGACTACTTCGCATACGGCTGCGTTTGCTTGCTGGCTTCTGACTCGCCATCCCGAGGCCCAGGAGCGACTTCGTGCGGAACTCATTGAAGCCTTGCCCGACTTGGAAAGCTTCGATATCAAGCGCACCATGAATCTCGAATTTCTCGACGGTGTTATTCGGGAGACCATGCGGATGTACCCTATGATCCCAGGGCCACTCGAAAGACATTTGGGGAAGGATCTTGTAATCGCTGGAAAGCAAGTCCCCAGAGGCGTGATCGCATCGACTGCAGCGCTCAACCAGGGACAGCTAGAAGAGGTTTATCCAGAGCCGCAGCTTTGGAAACCTGAGCGCTGGATCGGCGCTGATGAACGTATGAAACTGAACTGGATTCCGTTCGGCCATGGTTCTCGTGCCTGTCCGGGCTCGAATCTGGCTTTGACAGAACTCAAGTACATGCTAGGTTTGATCTTTCGCAAGTTCAAAGCAACAATGCCCCCCGGCATGGAAGAAGACAACCTGGCTCTGGCGGACGTCTTTGCAGCTGGATCGAAGACGGGCTCTTGTTGGTTGAAGTTCAGACGATTGGAGGCGTGATACTTCGTCACGTGGCTGGGTGGGACTAGTTGTGACCTTGGAAGTTATACAATAATGACCGATACTTCTACATAACACAGTCGAAGCACGAAATCTGATGTTTGAACGTGCTTGTGTGATGCGCGCTACTGATGGCCCCTCAATGCAATCGCATACCACTTCGTCTCAATCAACATCCTTTAGTGACGGGAAAGTGCTGCTTTGATAGCGTGCCTGCTGCCTTCGCAAATGACGACCAGCCCGCAGGGCTTATGCGGCCATATAAATCCACGAACGACGACAACGTGCCAATTCTCTGCGGATCAATAGCCGTGGTTTCCCCGCACCCTTCCAGTACGATTGAAGACTCTACAGAGTTCCTATTGACCTTGTCGTTACGCGCTCCTGTGTATGCCCATACAGCTACTGTGCTGTGGTGTAAACCTATGAAAGCCAATAGGTTGAAGTTTACCCTCTTTTCTTTCTCCAGCTTTGACTCTCGGTCTATAATGTTCCAGATACTGTAGGCCCGCTCAGCCGCAATCCGACCTTGTCGTGAGTTGGCCCATGTGCGCGCCTTATTAACGAGACGATCTTCGATAGTAAGATTATCGGCGAGTCGATACTGAATTTGATGGAGGTCTTCGAGTGGGACATGTAGGCGAAGGTGCCCCAAGTGAAAGAGTAATAGACCACTCATCAAACAGCTACGGTCGAGATTGGTTCTCACAAATGTCTTGACTAGAGGAAGGCTTTGCTCCCACTTCTCAAGAGCAGAAAGTAAACGTCGGTGCTGCTGCCGTAAATCCTCCATCCGGCGTACCGTACTATCCAAACAGTGTGTCTCTGAAGACTTGGTAGCGCTTTTTGATAGACGTCTTGTGCTGAGCCTTTCCGAACCAGAGCTCCTGCTGGAAATGGATTCGCAGGGACTGTCAGAAGAAACAGATGATAAGTCATCGCTACTAAAGCCTTCAAGACCTCCGGACAAACGGGTGAACATATTCCGGTCCTTGGAAAAGCGCCAAATAGAGTATTGCAGTCCGAACATGAGAAGCTCCTGTCCTGCAGGATCCAGAGGTGGAAGCGGCTCGTTCTTATCCATGGCGATACGATAGATATCAGAAGCCCATAGTTCTCTACTAGGTGTTTGGTCATGCTCTATCATCTGCAGGCACAAGCTAGGGGACATCTTCTTGCTTCGCCATATAGCGTCGCACATTCGCAGCTGAAGGTCGATCTCCTCCATTGAGATCAGAGGTTTGCTGTGTAGCAACACACTAGTGTAGCTGTCGCCGCGGAATATACCGAATGCTAGTCGTCGACGTGTCTCCAGTTGCAACCACATTTCCAGACGCTCCTCATCTGAAGCAATGTCTTTCATGCGTTGTAGCCTTTGCATAGCTTTGTCAAAATATGCGGCTGAGAAGAGATCCATCCTCCGAGCTTGAGCGACAAGCAAGGCGCCGAGATGGTGGGCGTAGGTGAAAGCCTTTGGCTGTCCGAAATACAGCGCAGCTACCTGAGTCAGCAGTCGCGCTTGTGCCAGCCAGAGAAGACCGAGCTCTTCGTTTTCAAGCTCCCATACCATCGTAAGAGTGCTCCGGATGGTGGTATGCATCATGGCCCCATAATTGCTCGCGTTGGAGCCGCAATACATCGATCCGATCGAAGTAAGAACGAGAAAAAGGATTGGATGAAGAGCGTCGAGTTCCAAGGTTTGCAAGCTGAACAGGGGCCATAGCGGTCCGAAATGTTCTACATACTTGGCGCAGAAGTCGTAGAGTGCTGACGAACCCGAGCACTCTTGGTAATCAGTGAGCCCAAATGCGAGTGCAACTTTGGCAGAAGCGAGGGCCCAGGAGTTTGCATGGTCCTTTTCTGACTGATTACCCCACGCTGGTGAGGAAGCGAGGCCGACTAGATTCTCAATAACTAGGTTTTGATTGTCTCTGGATGTGATCGACGCACTTTGATCCAGACTGCCTATTTTCATATCAGTAAAAATGCTCCACATCACGCTATCGAACGATGACTTACACGTATCTTCCAACGTGCCCGTGGCGAAGATATTCTTTGAGGCTTGCTGATGTGCTGTGCTGCTCAATCCGTCTGACGCAGAAGTCTGCCCTAAGAGCATCTCCACGTCCGGTTGGCCGACATGACTCTGCGTTGACAGCGAGCCAAGATTGGTGAAGGATTCCAAGTCAAGTCCGGCAAGCGTTTCGTCTTGGGAATATGGGAATTGCACAGAGCTCATCGTGTTGGCCAATGAGTGGGGGTCGGCAGGTAGAAAGAGGTTTTCGTGTAGCCACGGCCAAGACATGGTTCCTATATCGGACGTCTCACCGGTTGCGACGGAGGATGTGGAGTGTTCGGGACGAATAGGTATGCCCGCTAACAAGCAATCGTTGTACGGATCGTAGATTGACTGTCTGTCCAGGGAGCTGGGGCGTATATGATGGGTACCTGGATGGAGATCATGTTCTCTCGGATGCTCGGCGCTCTCGATAGGCAAGCATGATCCCTCGTACGACAAGCAGCCCACATCGTCTGGCTGGTTGTCATGTTGGTTGGACTCGTGTGGAGGTGCATCGGTGGCCGGTGTCGCGACATGCGGAAGAACCTGGCTCAGCCTATTGGAACGGTTGGAGTATTGACAGGAAGAGTCGGTGTTCAGACATGTATAGCACGGACGCTGTCCATCACATTTCGTCCTCAACTCTCTGCATCGGAGACACGCGGTATGACATCGCTGCCTTCCCGATGCGGCAGTGGTACTGCCGATCTGGGCAGATGGCGGTTCAACTGTGTCGTTGAGAGACGAAGGCTGGTGAAGCTTCGAGTGTCGAGACAAAAGATCCCTGCGATGGAAAACGACGCCACAGGTTGAACAGCGGTGCTTGCAGGTCTTTTGGTGGCTGTGTTGATGACGCGTCAAGGAGTTTTGCGTACGATAGGTCCTTTCGCATTTGGTGCATGGGTACATGATGTGAGGATGAGATGGAAGACGTGGTGAGCCCCAACGGCTTCTCCATGGCGCGGCGAAGGCACCTGGGCATGTTATGCATGTTGGCACTGACTGTCGGCTCAGCACTCGAGCCGTCGGACTGCCCTTGGCACGCTAACGCGACCGGCGGGCGAGGGCTGCGGGGTCGAGCTAGCTGGCGTTCTCGCCTCGATCTGCGTGCACGCGCTTCCCAGGACTCAAGATCACGACTTGAATTGCTATGGACACATGGTGCCGATTACCGCCATCCACCTCTACGGACATGGATTCAACGGGACGTGCCGTCTACTTGCTCATCATGCATCAAACGACATGCGATTCGACATTCGGCCAATTCCTCCAATCTCCACCTCGACCCTGTCCCCATCTTCGAGAAAGGCTTGCGGCTTCATGAACAGTGCGACTCCACCTGGCGTCCCGGTCATGATCAACGAGCCTCGCTGAAGAGTCTGGCCTTGACTGCAAAATGCGACAAGTCGTCGGACGCCAAAGCACAGATCTGACGTATTGCTTTCCTGTCTGATTTCCCCATTGACCATCGTCCTCAGCGACTGTTTGTTGGCTTCTCCTAGGACGTGAGTGGCTACGATACACGGTCCCAGCGGCGCGTACTTGTCGAATGACTTGCTGAAGGACCACTGCGGAACAGGCCCTGCTTTCCCAGCTTCTCTTTGCCAGTCGCGCGCGGAGACATCGTTACCTGCAGTATATCCAGCCACATAGTCCAAGGCATCGGCTTCCACTATGTTCTTTGCGTCTTTGCCGATGACAACGACCAGTTCACCCTCGTAATCGCATTGCTCCTGTGCGAAACAAGGAATTGGGACGTCCTCGCCGTGATCCGCAACGGCTGGCCCTGGCTTAGTAAAGACCGTTGGACACGTTGGAAGCGGCCGTCCGGTCTCGAGAACTTGCAATCTGTTAGATCGGGTGCTTCTCCCACTAGTGTTCCAATCCCATACATACTGTGTGTTTTGTAATTCAATCCAATGCAACGGATGATTGGGACATGAGCTGGCTCGAGCGGTCCCAGCAGCCTCGCCACTTTGTCGATCTCGCCTGTTGGTGTCGCACTCAGCGGATCGTTTCCATGCAACATCTTTACTTCGAGTTTTCCTTCCTCTGCAATCTGAGCAATCAAATCCACGTCTGAGCCTGAAACGATGGGGTCGCCATAACGAATATCCTGATCAGCCCCTTGCGCAATGTAACGAACAAATCTATCCCACGCAACTGGTTCTGAAGACATCGTGAACAGCTAATCGCGGAATAGGGAAGAAGAGTTGGAGCTAGCAGGTCGCACAGCTCTCAAGGCAGAGGCAGCTCCTATGTGTTTTCGGAGTTCACCAACTCTCACTCCTCCATCAGCATATGCAGTGTGGTTCTCGGAAACGCGCGTGAATATCAGTAGTCGGAAGGCAGCGTATCCGCTTTCCGACCAAGGAACCCGCCAAGGCATACCACCTTATCCGCTGTACCAAACTACAGAGACTGAAGCCGAATCAATTTGAATTTGTCAGCGATAAGTTGCAGTCTTGTTTTTCGGAATACATCCGCGGACAATACGCAGCTTGACTATGTGGGCTACTTGGGCTGCTTTTGAAGCGGGGTAAACGCGTACCACAACGCGCATAGTCAGTCAGAATCCAGATGCACAGGTGGCTGCTTTTCAGATGGTGTATGTCTACATAATAGCAAGCAGCGAAGTCTGTTCACGTGGTTTCACAGGCTCTGCTAAGTTCTTCACGTAGTCTACTTGCCAGACTTCATTGCGTCAATACACGACCGTTCACGCGGAAACGGTCTGGGATGATGAATATTCCTGGGAGTCTGGCACCTGATGTAAGCACTCGCTTTCCAGAACGATGCGTTGTACTCATCGTGCTTTCAGGGAACGAAGCTTTGGCTTCTTCATGTAGGAGACGTGGTAGCTAATGAGGCTTTCATGATCACCGGGGTACGTCTCAATCCATTCAGCACAACAACGCTGGCGCTGGTATCAGAAAACAGCAGATTGACTCGGCTATGTAGGCGAATGCTTCTACTGCAAGCAAGTTGAACCCGCAACAACATGCTCGAAGGTCAATGGTAATGATGTGTGCTTTGGTCTCTCATCCTACTGAAGGACTCGTGCTCTTCGAGACTGGTCCTGGCAAAGATTACCCAGACGTTTGGGGACCACAGCTCAACGACATCTTTGCTCGGGAAAACTATTGCGAGGATCATGACTTGGATGTTGCTATTCGGAAAACTGGCAATGACATCAAAGACGTTAAGGCCGTCATCATGGGCCATCTTCATCTTGATCATGCTGGAGGATTAGAGTATTTTCGGGGAACTGACGTCCCTATCTATACCCATGAGCAGGAACTGAAGAACGCATTTTACAGCGTTGCGACAAAAACAGATCTTGGTAAGTCATTGTCACAAAGACATGCACCCCACTCGCAGTCATAATGTGTCTTATGAGACATTATGAATTACGGGGTCGGCAAGGCTGACTCAAAGCTCTATGCAGGTGTCTATTTGCCTACCTATCTTCAATTCGATCTTAACTAGAAACCGTTCCACGGCGACGGATTCGAGCTAAACACTGGGTTGATCATCCGCCACAGCCCCGGTCATACCCCAGGCCTCTCAATCCTCCAGGTGAACCTCAAAACCAGCGGGACGTGGGTTTTTACCACTGACCAATACGTCTTCAAAGAGAACTACGAGTCTCTTGCCACCCAGGGTTGGTTTACCAGGGACCATGCATCTTGGTCGAGATCCAACCAGATGATACACTCTTTGCAGAAGTTGACTAATGCGCGACTCATCTTCGGACACGATCGTGATGTACTCTTTCAGTACAACTTAGCGCCAGGATACTACGAATAAATTAAGTCCTTCCATTGACCGTGTATACATGTGCTCAAAGATATTATAAGCAGGGCAGAATGCATCAATTTACTTCCGGTTCACAGCGCGTCAATCACACCTGCGACGTTTGCGCGCTATGCAAATCACCCTTCCTTCAAACATGCACTTGCAGTGTTGCATGCAAATTTAGAAGTCTGACAAACTAATTCCCGGCTTCAGTTGAACGGTCTTGATCAAACGCTAGCTACTAGCGCAGATAGAATTCCCAGGATAAGGTGGTATCAATGTGCGCACACCACCTTACCCGCCTACGTCAGAACCACAACTATTGCTAACCCACTTGGTCTTTACGAACCCCAGCGTACTAGCTCCCTGGAACCTGACACCGTTTACTGTTGACGCTGTACCGGTACCTCGGTTCCACAACTGATGTAAAGCGGTCGCGGAAGGCGAGCTACATAGCCTCCACGTGCTTGAGCTGACAGCTCAAGGTTAGTAGCGTAGATCAACATACATCGAATTGCAGCGCTGTATATCATCCGCCCAACCAACGACGCTTGCGCATAGATTATTACACTTTTGTTTTGAATCATACGACATGCCGATACCTGACAACGACATGAGGATCCGTCTCAAGGCAACGGCGTTCGTCATCTACTACCATACCGACCTAACCAAGGCGCGTCAATTTCTCCTCGACTTCGGACTGTCCATCGCGC